TTTTTTTTTTTAAGGGGGGAAAATCATCGAATGACTGCTCCCGCCTGGGTGAGGCGGGAGGGAGTGTCAGACTCTTACTGACTAAAAACACCCCGTTCCTTCTCCTGCACGTCGAGCCGGAGCCCCGGTTACCCGTTAGGTTCTCCGCGACTCCGAATCGGCATTGGCCCTGTTCTGCCCCATCTGTGGAGGTCTGATGGCTCTTTGAGGCGCGCGCGGAACGCTCGGCGCCGTACGCTCGGGTCTGTTTCTGGTCGGACGGGGAGCCACCCATGCTCGCCGTCTACAGGCCCGAAGATTATAGGTTAAAGAATCATTAGGGATTTCGAACATAAGTTATCTGTCATTAGGTGGTTATTTTGATACACGTAGCCACATAAAAGCGTGTAGAGGTATAATGAGACTAATGAGTGATTCTTGTGTAACATGTTAAACAAAAAACCATGGGGGTCACCAGTGACCGGCGTTAGCGGAGGATTTACCTTCAACAGTTTTTTATTGGCAGTCAAAGTTTTAATAAAAGTATTTGTGTGCAAATAGTAGATATTTATTATTTACTTATCCATGGTCTGCAGTGACACTTAAATTTAGCCGGTTAGTCTTAAGTTCCAGTTCACACCCGCTTTTAGCCGTAACATGTATATTACACAATATTTGTAACATAAATTATATGATATGATTTTGGTGGTAAGAATATTGATTTCGGTGGACACCATTTTTTCAAAATTAAATTCCTTCATAACCATTTGGTCTATACGATTCCCTTCAGTGCCAATATGTTTTACCTAAATTAACTCTAGCTTTGATATTACATGATAATATGCGACAAATTAAATAAAAAAGACTGCCTTGTTGGCCGAGTAATTGCCAGTGTCACTGCCAGGCAAGGAGTCTCGAGTTCGATTTCCGGGTCAGGCAAAGTATTACTGGGTTTTTTTCAAAATATCTCACAGTAGTAGCACGGAGTCTGGAAATGTGTTCGGAATATGGCAATAGGCTCACCCCCATGCTCATCACATGTAATAACATGGGACTCTTAACATAAATAGTGAAAGGGTGTTTCATTGTACAGTGCCATTAAGTGCCGTAATGTATACCTCTGCCTACCCCATCCGGGGATAAAAAGGAGTGAAGTTATGTTATGTTAAATAAAAAAAATTGACACCGAAGTCAACCAAATAACGAGTATCTTGAGAATGACCGATCTTTTTTATTATTTGTGTGGTACTTTCTTGTATTTTTCAGTAGAAGTAAGTGTCATTGACTATATTTTTGAGGGTGGAAAATCATCCAATGACTTCTCCCGCCCGGGTGAGGCGAGACGCATGTGGACCCGACTATTGTCCTGGCCATATACATTATGTATAAGTAAGCTCAAGAGTGGTGAGCCTCACAAATCTTTAATAGAGTTAAATTAGGGTATTTTTAGAAAATATCTGATATAACAAACAACTATGGATCAAGCATGTCCAAGCCGAAAGCTAAGAAATCGTCGCCTAACAGTATTACAAAGCGACGCTCGCGGTCCGGTGACGTCGTCACTCCGTTATCAGTGATAATGAAATCACAGATAGCGCAGGTGTTTCAGAAATAAAGAAAGATAAAACTTATATTCACCACAGCACGGTGCAGTTTAAGTAAAATGTATAAACGACAAAAAAGGTGTGGCAGAAAAACAATAGGTTAAAAAATTAAAACATAAAAAACTGCGTTTAAAAAAACCGACCTATATTTTATATTATGTACATCCCACATCGGTGCAAAGTTTTCATCAATACATATTATTCAAGCTCAAACACCAGGTAGCTACTGTTAATCAGTGTTCTCTTAGCTATCATACTACTTCATCATTGGACATTTAGTGACAACCATACTAGGTATAAAGACCTCTTCAATACAAATTTATCAAACCCAGACACAATATATCTACTGGTAACTCTGAGGAGTTCCCTCAACTATTGTAATACTTCATCACCAGACCCTTATTGGCAATCACACACCACGTAGGTATAAAGACCTCTTCAATACAAATTTATCAAACCCAAACACAATGTAGCTACTGTTAACCGTCGAAGAGTTTCCTCGACTGCCTCTCGGCTCCATCATCAGATCAACTCCAGACCTTTATCAGATTGTAGTCGTTTTAAATACTTCACGAAAAAATTAACAAATGCACTAGTCGCCCCTATAATTTTTAAAAGTTCCCCTCGGTTCCCCTGAGATTCCATCATCAGATCCTGACTTCATGACAATGGGACCAAATGACAAGCCGACACTATCAAACAAAAAAAAATTGAAATCGGTCCAGGCGTCTCCTAGTAATCGAGTAACAGAATATAAAAAAATACAGTCGAATTGAGAAGCTCCTCATTTTTTTGAAATCGGTTGAAAAGAATCAGAAAAGAGACGCTGATAACATGCCTGTGCTAAATAGGTTACCCTCTCAGTGTAAGCCAGGCAAACGAGTCACCCAGCTGTGATTTTCAGTGGGCACCCCTGCAGTGACACACGGACGGTAGCAATGTTTTATGGTTAGATAAAGACAAACAAAAAATATAAATGTGTATATAATAAGTATATAGATACAACAATCGAATATATATCAATAGTAAATATAAAAGTAAAAACTATTTTTGTATGTTTGTATGTTTGTAATGAATAGGCTCAAAAAATACTGGGCCCATTAAAAAATTTTTTCACCAATAGAATGCTACATTCTTCCAATTTGACATAGGCAATTTCACATTTTCATTTTGAAAAAAAATTAGGGATCCTTGGTAAAATTTGAACAATGTAACCGAAGGTGTAGAAAAATGAGTCTTAAAATGTCTTTCGTCGAATGCGCTGCCGAAACTATTAGCGATAAAACAAAATAATGTACAACAATATTGAAGAACATACAACTACAAAAAACTCCGCGGTAGCATATGTCCAACTATTGTAGTAATGTCACTACAACAATCCAAATTTCTACTTAATTGTCTACTCCGTGCGAAGCCGAGACGGGCTGGTAGTATAAAATAAAATTGTAAGATAAGAAAAACGTAAATAAATAATACACATGATAGTGTTTATATCTGTGTTTTGAATTATCATCACACTAAATTAATTTGAGTTAAATAATAGATAAATCAATATTAATTACAGCTTTATCTTGCGCAGGGAAAATCACAACGATAGAGAACGTGAATGAAGAGATAAAAACCCTTTCTATGCTCGGAAGCGTGAGCACAGGTCTACAAACTTATTTTACTATTATATTATTATATAATATATTATATCAATTCCACATCTGCACCATCATCGTCGTCATGTTAGCCGGGGGGCTCCCCACGAGACCAATCAAACCACGACATGAAGTTCTCGAAAAATCGAACAATCACGAATGTCTGTTTTCTCAATATTAAAAAAAACATTAAAAATTCGAAATGACCATACTTAAGAAGTCAACTAAGAAGTCAGATTAAAAAAAAATACAGTCTTACTAACCTATTATTCGGCGATCCAAATGTCCTGCTAATGCCTTTAACATTGTCACTGGACATCATTTAGTTATGCACTCACAAAAGGTATGACACGAATTAATTGTCTGTGAGGCCGTTGCCGGTATTTATACACCGGGGTTGCTCGCTGCAATTTTTCCTGCGCGGCAATATTTGTTTCAATTGATTCATCGATCGATCCATCGTCGATTCTAGACCTATCCCTAAGACGAATATCTGGAATAAGATGATACGATCAAATCTGTATCTGGAATGAGACAATGGTCTTGGCTTGGTTATTTCTCCTTTTCTTCCAATCTGATTGTTGCTAGCCATGACGCAATATCTTATTAATATATTGCGCATTACGAAAAGTTCTGGATATTCACACATTTCTTTCCAAGAGTTGTCGTAGTCCATGAGCCCTTAGTGTCCAAGAGTCATTAAAGTCCAAGAGTCCTTAGGATCGGAGAATCTAAGTGTCCACTCTCTCATATGATTACGTGGCAAGGTGGGTCCAGAATTTCTGATGAAGAGCCAGGTTCGTCTTCTGTATCATCATCACACACACAGCCACAAGATGTCCATAACCGTACACAGGGGGGCCCAATGGCTTCCAGATCGACTCGATCGTCAGCTTCCAGCGATTCCTTAGCATGTAACCGAAAATTCGAAGAAAAATCACTTTCATTTATATTTCAACCCGGTTTTTCCACAGAATTGTTGTTTTGGTATCACCTGGTAAGGTCTAAGATTCACTAGGATCAATGCAATAGTATAATTTATCCGTACTATATACAGCACGTTGCCGCCGTCCGTCCTGCGAATGTATGTAACATGCGAGCTCATATCTAATCGATTGCAAAATTTCTAGATATTTGAGGACATTCTGATAATCGTGACTTTTTATCTTTGTTTGTTTCATAGTAGTAAAAGTTATTAAAAATTAAAAGTTATAACTACTTGAGGTACCCTGTGAAACTTAAACTTTCATTTTGCCCGACGACGACACGAAAACCATGTGCACGACGAAGTCAAAGTTAAATTCGAAGCATTGAAACAAGTTCAAATTCAAATTCAAATTCAAATTACTTTTTTGTAAAATTCCTAAACCTATTAGACAGGTAATATAAAATTCCTAAATCAATACGTTCTTTTACATTTTCATGATATTTTTTGTTGCTAAAGTGGTTTGTTCCGTCACAGCGAACATTGCTAATTGCATAGAGATGTAGTACTTTATTACTATGTCCGCTGTGGCGGACAACGCCAAAGAGGTTAATTTTTTTTTTTGTTATGGGTCTCATATTTATTTATTTTTCTTTGTTAACCGTGCTAGTAAAATTATCGCTTTAGTTCCAAATGAGCATGCAGCTTCTGATGCTAGTGAGAATTCTGAATCTGAAACAGAAATGCATGATGACCCGCGTGCTTATGCTTCTTCCCCACTTCCTTCTTCTGCACCATCAATTACATCTTCCCTTGCAAACCAGTATCAGTACGTCTGAAGACGAAGAATCGTACATTGATAATAATGATGTTATATCAGATTCTATCGTGCGCGAAATTGGAGAGTCTAATATATGAGAATGTTCCATCCCTATCTGCTATCCCCTCACTGCCATCAACGCCTATGGCACCTATAGGTTTTTCTTCTCCACTGTCATCACGAAACACAAGGTCTAGTAAACAGCCATCTACAGTACCAGCAAGAAAAGCGAAGAAGGGTAAAAAGTTTCAGCTGTCTTATAAATGGAAAGTAGCACAATTCCGCCACAGAGCGACAGTAGAAGAGGATGAAAATGGAGATTATATTGATTTGCCAAAAGATGTTGACTCACCTTTGAGTTACTTTTTTTTTCTCAAAATTAGTAATATTGTTGAACAGACAAATGTATACTCTGTTCAACAAACTGGCAAGTCAATTCAGCAGTCAGAAGAAGAATTCAAAGACTTTTTGGCTATTCACATTATTATGGGTATTGTTGTAATGCCTTCATACCTCGATTATCGGTCGGATAAATTTAGGTATGCTAAAGTTGGTGATATAATGTCATTGAAAAGGTACCAACAAGTGCGACGATATTTGCATTTTGTCGACAATAACATGGATGATGGAGACAAATACTATAAAGTACGTCCAGTTGTAGAGCAAATAAGACAAAACTGTTTAAAACAACAAAAAAAGGAGACATAATTTAGCATAGATGAAATGATGATAGCATACAAAGGATCTAAGGCAGGCAAAAGAAAACAATCTCTAGGTCTTTCTTCTTCCTACCATCTTTATGCCGATGATCTCCAAATCTACACTCAAGCCTCACTCGAGCATCTACCGGAAGCTATTGCTTTGGTTAATCTGACTGCTAATTAATCCATTCAAAACGCAAGCGACTGTCCACTGTTTCCAAAATTGATTGGACAAATCTTCCTTAGGTTTCTTTCTTAAATACAAATATTCCTTTCTCCCGAGAAGTTAAGAACCTGGGGATCTTCTTGGACAGTTCTCTCTCTTGGACAAAGCAGTTGGAGATGGTCAGTCGCAAGTTATTTGCTTCGGCGGGTTCCCTCAGACGGTTTCGTAATTTCTTGCCCTATGCTACCAAAATTACACTTGCTCAATCTCTTCTGCCTATTCTAGACTATGCTGATGTCAGTTATCTTGATCTGTCACAGGAAAAATTGGACAAGCTTGAGCGACTTCAAATCCTTTCCATCAGATTCATATTTGGTCTTCGCAAATATGATGATTTCACTGAATTCCATAATAAGCTCAAATGGCTTCCTATTCGATTTCGCCGGAACTCTCATATTCTTTCCTTACTGTACAATATTATTTTCAATCCTTCTATCCCATTTTACTTAAAAGAGCGTTTTCAGTTTCTCGGTGACACACATTCGAGGTCTCTGAGACCGTCGGAGAATCTTAAATTAAGTATACCTATACATTCCTCTTCCTTTTTCGATAAATGTTATAAGGTTTTTTTTTTAATATTATAGATTATTTCTCCACGGACTCTTGGTCCGTGCCCTTGTCATACAGTTTTTTAATTATAATACATCTAGTCAATTTTTATAAAGTAAAGAGGGAACCTAGTTACACACTACAATTAACTACATCTATAATTATTACCAAAAGTATAGGTTACATAATAATTAGGCACTATTTATTTATTTCTATTTCAAAGGCTTTATGAAACCAGCCCACCAACAAGATGGGAGAGCCGACCTGACCCAGCAGAAGGCACCCGTTCACGAGTATGACGTGTGTGTCAGCAATTGGTCCGGTCAACCTTTTTATTGGGAACGGAACAACCCAACACACAGCGCCACCGACTGTAGGACATTTATGTGTGCATGACGCCTCAACCCTTGCCACATGGGCCGATTCCAATAAAGCGTACAATAGTCCAAAGTCAATTGGTTATATTCTATTTCTACATGTTTCTGCACACACATTTCCTCATGTTGCATTCGTTTCATCACAAGCAACACTCCCCGCCCAAGAGAGCACCCATGACTGCCGCGTCCCTGTGTTTGATAGCCATTTTCAGGTTGTAGTCCTTAATACCTTGCTCACCCTCATCAGCCGCCTTCCTGATTAGTTTGCTTATCGCGTCTTCACTGTTGTCTGTGTAATAGATGCAACCATGCATGTGACGCGATATTGCTACTACCGCGTGTGGTACGCTGTCATGTATTTGATGTTTCTTTGTTGCTGTGTTGCCAACAATCACATTCGCACACGAAAGTCCCTGTGCCTCGTGTATCGTGAGCACGCGTGATCCCACGGTCGACCCGTATCCCTGGTTCTTAAGGGAATCCTTCTCTACCTGAGTGTGTACCAGGTATAAAGTGTCGGGGGGTGACTTTGGAATCATCGCCCCCGAGAACCTTTTTATCTCGAGGGATCTCACGAACGACCTGGACGAGTATATGCCACTGTAAACTGTGCTGAGGGCATACGCCACATCCATTGGATTTCTGTGGGTACACATCAATTCCTGGCTTGTGGGCGTGATATATGTAGGGCGGCTGTAGAGTAGAGGGAAGAGGTTATCATGATCTATAAACGGAAGCTGATTTATGTCACCAATTAGAAGGACTTCCTTGGCTCGAGTTATTCGGGCGGCCATCACAACGGCTCCAAAGTGGTTCATGAGAGCCTCATCTACCATTAGTCGATGGCAGCTCTCTCGCTCCCCCAAGCCGTTTACCTGGTGTCGCTGGACATAGAGGGTGCCTTTGACAATGCCTGGTGGCCAGCCCTGAAACATCAGCTCATAGCCAGAAAGTGTCCGAGAAACCTGTACGCTATGGTGAACTCCTACCTCAACGAACGGATAGTGAAAGTAAATTTTGCCGGAGCTTGCAGCGAAAAGAGGACTAATAAGGGTTGCGTTCAAGGGTCCGTAGGTGGACCTACTTTTTGGAACCTTGTCCTCGATCCGTTGCTACACAGACTCACAGGAGAGGGAGTTTACTGCCAGGCTTTTGCGGACGACGTGGTTCTCTTGTTCTCGAACTATAAAGTGAGTGCATTTTAGCAATCGGTAAATGGTGCCTTGGAACTAGTAGCAGCCTGGGGGGTCAGCAACAAGCTCAGATTCGGGGCAAGTAAAACGAACGCTATGCTGCTGACAAGAAGGCATGTTTTTGAGCCCCCAGACCTGTTTATGGCAGGCACCAGAATAAATCTCGTAGAAGAGGTAAAGCTCTTAGGCCTCACTATAGACAGAAAACTCACCTTCAGGTCACATATATCTGCCATATACAAGAAAGCTGCAGACATTTACAAACAGCTAGCACGCGCAGCCAAGGTGACGTGGGGTCACAACGGGGAAATAACGAGAACAATATACGTCGCGGTCATTGAGCCGATTGTACTTTACGCCGCAAACGTGTGGGCCCCAGTGACGGAGCTACAGGTGATCAAAAAACAGTTAAATGCTCTTCAAAGGGGATTCACACAAAAAATCTGTAGAGCTTATCGTACAGTGTCGCTCACATCAGCAACAATCTTGTCCGGAACTCTCCCACTCGATCTGAGAGTCCAGGAATCTGCCAGTTTGTATCGAATTAAAAGAGGATTCTCTCTGGACTACTTACCACCTCAAAAGGAGCTTGAAAAGCGGGTCCATTACCTGGACCAGCCACATCCCTCAAAATTAATGTCTATCAACTATGAGCTCCTGGAGAACGATGACTCTGGATCTCCTCTCGTCCAAAATATTGCCGGCCCTCAATTATACACAGATGGCAGCAGAATTAACGGAGGCGTTGGTTCTGCCTTGACTTGGTGGGAGGGCGATCGTGAGTCCATGTTTTCCACTTTTAGTTTAGACCCTTCCTGCACGGTTTTCCAATCTGAGCTATACGCTTTGAACAGAGCGGCTAAAATGGTTCTCGACAATGGAGCGACTAGAGTAAACATATTTAGTGACTCTAGGTCCTCCCTCGATGTTTTGAAGAATCCCAGGATTACCCACTGTTTGGCCAAGGAGATAAAGCAGTGTTTGGAGACCATAACGGAACAGGGAAGAGAGATTCGATTCTACTGGCTGAGGGCCCATGTTGGAACGGCTGGAAATGAGAGGGCAGACGAATTAGCTAAAACCGCTGCCAAACAGAAAAATAATACCACGGCAGACTACTGTAGAATACCCATGTCCTATGTCAAAAAGAAAATTTGGGACGAAACTATCCGTAAGTGGCAGGACAGGTATACCACCTCAACTACTGGGCAGGTGACTAAAACGTTTCTCCCAGATGTCCATGAGGCATATCGAATAGTGAGATCAACAAAGT